CTATACCTACTTATCTGTATTTTATATTTCACGATTTTCTGGCAGAATTTAACAAGCAATCTAGCGCGCCTCGAATCAGCAGATATTTGGCAACACTGTGAGAAATTATTTACTTCGTGACCAGCAACTGGTGCAGAAATATTTGTCTTGAAATGTGGACGATAGAAAATTGTATTTAAATATTATATTAATTGAAAAAAAACCATACCTCATCAGGGATCGAACCCCGAACCTTTAGATTAGTAAGACAACGCGTAACGCCTTGAGCCACGAGACCACATTTATTTTCTTTCGATAACCTGACTTATATATTTAACGTTGTGCCTCTTGTGATACAAACAATAATTATAATGAATATATTGGCAGACGGCTGGATACCAGTAATAATATTATTGGCATATTTTGAAGAATTATCAAAAATAATAAAAAATAAATTGTTGCATATTTTTAGAACTTTTTTCGAGTTTCTCTTTTATTTTCGCTAATTTTCCTGGTGTGTTATGTAATATCGAGATTACTCAAATTAGGTACTGTAGTATTATATGCCACGTTAAAAATTATTTAATTTTTCGCACAGAGCTGTAATTGTCCCACATGCTTGGCACCAGAGTTATAGAGAGGATTGTGGAAAGTTTGTTGGCATTGAATCTAATGTAATGGATTATAACATAGTTACACGTTGAGGAACGTTGTAATTTCCTCAAAATAGTCTGATCTTTTGATATTTTAAATCGGTGATAAATTTTTACATAACATTTGTTACACTGTGCAATTTTTTTAATAATTCGGCAAGGTATTAGCGCAATTTTGATTATCAATTAATATTCCACGCCGCCTCTTCGAGAGTCGGGGCAAATCTTTGGATTTCAATGGGCAATTAGTGAGGCATCTTTTATTATAAATTATTCTTTGTTTTCGCACTTTTCTGACCCGCCAATTAAGAGAGATCCCAACGAAAGCGTATCCTTTAGTGAAGCCTGAAATTAATTGGGAAAGTTTCGGCCCACAGCACCTCTCTATTTAATGTTTCGAGTATTCCAGTGGCGTCGCATATAAATAAACTTCTCAGTCTAAGGGGTTCCCGAATTTACAGATGTACAGGCCATCAACACAATAAGCAAAAACCAAATGAATAAGAAATTTGTTTTATTATACGGATCCTAAGAACATCCTAAGTTAAAGAGTGTGTGATTTCTAAATAATCTTACAGATGTGATTTAGTGTTAAAAAAATTTGTGTATAAAAAACACTGTACTCTTTCATCAACAATTTATTTTAATTATTGTTTTCACGTACCCGCATATTAGCAGGTCGCTATCTGCCAGTCATCTCACCCACATTCTGAAGACATCGGACATATAAAAAATTGCAACTGCGTCGTGTCGATCGATGTAAATTTCCTGTAAAAGACTCCTTGTTATTCCCATTTATGACATGGTGAAATATTCAAAGAAACGGCCCAATGCGGTGCGATCTACTCCCCCCCCCCTTCCCCCGGCACGACTGAAATATTTTTCCGTGCGCCACTAAAGAATTCTTCCCATTGCTCGCGTCTCCAGACGGCTATAAAAACGGACGTCATCGGAATCGATCAGGTTTATAAATAATTCATAAATTTTAGACCTGATACCCCGATGTACCGCTATCGAATACGACAATGGATTCGGTAGAGGCGTAAGGCAAAGTCACCTTAGCGAGGTACTGAACAAATTAAAAAAATATAGAAAAACGGTATAGAAATGTGATTTGTAAATGGAAAATATATCTACAACCTTGTGGTAATTAAAATACATACAATACAGGGTGTTCTACAAATTAAATGACAAACTTTGACAGATGGTTAATTTCAGAAAGTGTCAATTTATTAATATGATAAATAACAATTTATTTGTTACGACATCCGCCTGCTCTATTTTTACAAATTTTCGCAATTACCCCTTTAGTGAACGATGACGCATCTAATTTTTTTACTAGAAAACTATCGGTTTTATCGAAAAATTACAAGAGGTAAAAAAGTTGCGCAATAAATCACTCTTCCCAATAAATATTTTTAAATAAATAATTTGATTCATATAAAAAAATTCTAATAAAAGATTGCAATGGAGTTGACTGTTTCACTCCTTTAAAAAATACGCCACCGATCGAAAAAATATTGAAAAGTTGTCTCTTTATTAGTAGGACGCTCATACCAAGTTTCGTGTCTCTAGCATTCCTCATGTTAAACAAAAAAATTAAAATGTGAATTTGAATCCCCTCCTTTAATAGGGTATATCGCCTCAGGGGTGCAACTTTCATATAAGATATTTTTACTTCAATCCTCTTATTTCTAGCTCTACATTGAGTGGTACCATTTTTGCTACTTCATTTAAAAACACCCTGTACAGGTAAATAGTTTTTCTAGTTTTTCAATGGGCTAAGTCTGTATAGAACCGTAAGGAAGCATTTTCCTAGCTCCCAAACTATGTTATCTCCAACTCACAGCCTCGTAGCGATCATAGGAATTGTTCGGGCCAATTTAAGCGAACGAATCCCTTGTGTTGGCAGCACTGGATCCGGATCCTGCGAGCCCCAACTGCTGTTCTCCGCTTTCGATCATGTTTGTATAGAGTTGTTTCGGTTAATAGTCCTCGATGTCTGTCGCAGCGCGTTCGTCCTAACGGGACGTTAACAGCTATTCGAGGCAATGTCTGGGGATTTTCAGCCTCGAGAGGGCGCTCCGTGCTGTCACTGGGCGTGATTCTTTCCCATACACGTCAATCGGGTTTGTTTTGGACCAGGAAAACGATAAATGAAAATAGAGCCGTACAAGGCGTGCTAATACGCGGCAGAATGCTTGTTGGAGTTTGATTTCTTTTTTAGGAAACGTATCCGCGGCAAGAAACAAACGAATCTGGACGTATCCACCGCCCACTTGGCGAAAGTTCGCGAGGCACGGACTCTTCAAATTAAAACTTGGGATTTAGTTTATTCGAGTGGAATTTTCGCTATTCCGTGATATCGTTGCGGACTAAACTAACTCTGTTTCAGACTGAAACTGCTTTATCGTTCAAAATAAGTTATAGGTAATTTGTATTTGTTTTAGTTCCGTCGAATTAGATTAGATGTTATTCGAAATTTATGCATTTTATTCGTATATATCTCCTGGGTGTATTAATTCGCCATTTGAGACATGTTTAGCATGTTTTTGGGACATGAATTATCACTCAAACTATTCTCAAACAAGTTGGGAGATAGTACATACAGTTTATGGAATTTATTATTGTCAGTACGGCTAGCCTCCCTCTACAAATTGCATCGGGCACCATCGTTTATCGTACTCGAGCCACTTGGAAAATTTTAATTGATAAACACTACTACATAATATGAATTATTGCAGACATATTGACCATATTAAATGATTATAATAAACATTAGTTCATGCTGTGGATGGCCAGGAATAAAGGAATAAAAACTATCCACTAAAATCATTTCTGGAACATCTTCCAGCTTTGGATTTCAGCCATATTTGTATCCTAACCTTAAAATCACTCGTCTGCCCACATAGTACCAATATTCTTAAATGTTATTGTTATATTATATAACTGTGTTGACATTGCTAGTGAATTTAACTATAAATTAATGAAACTAAGATGGTTTTCTACTATTTTTACCTATTTTCTTAATTCTTTTGCAGGCGACAAATATCGCCGAGCATCATGGGGTGCTTTGGCAGCAAGGACAAGTTGTCCAAGGAGGACATGGACTTTCTGAAGTCGCACACTAGGTACGACGAGAGCACCATCAAGGAATGGTACAAAGGATTTAAGGTAAGACAACTTAATAGTAGTTATTTATTTGCGGTATAGATTAAGTTTTTTTCTTATTTATGGTATTGTTTTTTCTTACATCATCACGTGAGGATAGGGATGATCTGATGTATGTGAGACCCAACCAAGGAGGTGGACTAGCCGCTAACGGGTGGTATGACGTCACAACGTGTCTTCCTTGCATTAATTAATTATTTCGAGGAACAAATTTCTGATTTTTCGCACATCAAAAAGCTACGATTTGTTTCTGAATATGGACCATCCTGGGAAGGTTCGAGATGCTCGTCCACCTTCCATTTGGGTAACCAAACTGTTAAAAAATTGTCTCCATATTTTGTCTTAACCAAGATCGTTTTCCCCCATAAGTAAAGCCATAAATTCTAACCGTTTTTTTTTTCTTTTCAGAGGAAGAGTTAACATATATTCTCCAATTAGTCGAGTCTCGTTTACAAATTATGTACTTTGCCGGCCATTCCAATTAAATGAAAAGGCAGAAATCCAATTAAGCTAGATTTACAACATCGCTGCTAGCTTTTAACCTCATAATTTGTATGAATTGCAATTCCAGTCCTTATTCGGCATGTCTACGCGTTCAGCGCTCTGCCTAATAACGTATCGCGTTCATAGTTCCCGATTTATTTCGGTTCGCAGCAATTTATTCGCTAAAGAGACTGTTATTTCATCAATTACCGGCTACGTTGATCGATTATGTTATATGGAAACGCCATTTGCGGGCAGTCGGACGTTAATGGAATGTACAGGGTGTCCGTTTGGCAAGAAACCGCGGAGCTGTCTCAAAATTGGTGTTCCGTTGCATGAAAAGAGCACACATATCCATCTAGTGAGCTATGAGCTTTTGAACGCTTGCTTCGGGACACCCAGTACAATAAAACCTTTGGAAAATCATCATAATCTTAACTTTCTGCATGTTTTATGAACATTGCAATAATAAATTTATAAACAATATGTTTCTACTGTTCTTTCGTTCACTTATTTTCTGTTTGTAATTTACATAAGGAAACCAATTTACTGCAGAGCCTTTTACCGCCAGTACTTAATTAAATACAACATAAACAGAACGAATTACTCTGGCTACGTCTTTAATGAGTTCTGTCCCTATTCATCTCAGAGGGGTTAACAAGTCGGACTAAGAAATTTAAGCTGGCCATTTTGCTCTGAATACAACAATAGAACAGTTCAGTGAACCGCAATAATTCTGCCCCGTTTCAGGAAACCGTATCGATTTTGTGCGTCGATTCGATCGCCTGGAATAATTTTAAGTACAAGTGTGCCTTGCGTCTGTTGAAAGTTTTGTTTCAACTATGATAAATCTTCGAGCTCAAATATATTCGTATTTACTTCCCCAGTATTTCTATTATTCTTTAAGTTGTTCCAAAAATTGTACATGTTACAATTGTTTCTTCAGGATCACAGTGCTATAAGGTTCTAATAATTGGGAAGATTATTAAATTAAATTTTATTTTGCTAATAGTGCAAGGTTGTACTTCATGACATTGAACGTATAATACATGAACAGGAAACATAATGAAATTATAGCATGTACCTTTCTCTAACAATAAGACAGATCTTAAAATCGTGACAATATCTCCAAAACAACATATCCGGTACGTAAATTTGTGGTGCCGCTGGATATGTTCGAGGACCGCTGTACTAAGGGGACGCGCCAATTTCAGTGACAACACCGCGGTTTTAATCATGCCGCCTTCGTCCAGAATAATACATAACGCTGAAATATGGCGGCCATTGTGACGAGAAGGGAATCATAACATGAAATTAATTTCGGTGAACACCTGTAAGACGTAATTTGATTTACACGGGTTGACAGGGGATTCGGGTAATCCCATTAAATGGGACAAAGGGTGCTGGGGCAAAGACGACATACAGATTTCGTGAGGTCCTGGGTTGTTCGGAGCAGGTGCCGAAAGCTCTTGGAATGCTTTTGAATTCCGATTATGTTTTCGAAAGGAGAAACGTTGCTGTCGGCTGTATTTTTACCCAAACTTTATACGAACGTGCTTCAAATGTCATGTCATTAGAAAAATACAATATGTGTTTGTATACATAATTTATTATATATAGTTGTTACTCTGTGTTGTTTAATTCGAAATCCATATTTAGTAACGGCGCGATACCAGAGGTCCTCAATAAGTTTTAACAATTATTATTGCAGATTCAACTGTTTTATTAACTGAAAATGTTTATATACCAATAAATGCCCTCCAGATATATGAACACCCTGTATATCAATATTTTGTGTATAATGAAACAAAAGAAACTCATTACGTTCGAACAGTTAGTCCAAAAAGAGAAAACGAAAACAACCTACAATAGTTACGTAAAAGTGTGCTAATTTAATAAGATCATACATTATTCAACTCTTTGTTGTTGACGACGCGCCTTGGGCTGTTATTAAAAATAGCGACTTAGATAGATTGGACAAGACTTTTAACACTTTTTATATTGTTCTTATGGTTTAGCACTCAATTCGATGTACTTGGCACGTTTTTGAAATCAATGTCGGTACTTATACATATTTCTAATATGTAATTCGTATTCATATCGAATTCAAGCGTACCAAGCCCATAGCATTACGTAAGATTGTTATAAAACGCATACTGATATTTATGACACGTCGACTTACGTAAGTGCTACCTGACTAAATTTAGGCTCCAAGCATGTTTAATGGAATCAGAAGTGTTGTGTACCTTTTTTTTTAAGTAAGTTAGTAGTATTGAAACAAAACAGACTTTTCCAACAACGTAGAAAGTTTGGAATCACTTATCAACGTCTATTTCGTATTCAGGCTATTATTCTAATAGGGACGACCTTAGGGATTTCGTCGAAGTTCCCCGAGGGCTCTTAGCGCTGAAATTAGTTTAGCGCCCTTCTCCGTTGGATTTGTTTAATTCGTCCTTCTTTTACACCCTTTTAGAGGGAATTAATTCGGATGAGAATCCTTTTTCCTTTTAGTTTTTTCTTACTCCAATTCCTCTAGAAAGTTAATAGCCATCGGGCCGGATAGAAAGCTTTCGAATTAGAAATGGTGGAAACAAAAATTTTGAGTGCAAAGGATTCGATACGAATTTCCCCTGATTAGGATTGAGCTTATTATGAGGTCATTTTGTGTTACTATTTTATGACATTGTTTAAGGGAAACTGACAACAAGGAATAGTCTACTCTAGATTGTACTTTATTCGCATTTCAATCGTAAAATATTGTTGACAAAGGATTTGTTACGCTGAATGCTTTTTTGCAAAATAAATTCATCTGTTGTGCAACCGAATTCCTCCAAAGATCAGGCCAAATATTGAGATAAAAGCTTTCTGAAGCACCGAAAATAAATGGGATCAAAAGCATATTTAATTAGTAATACAATTCCCCAGAAAAGCCCATACGGACGAGTGCTTTGATGCTAAAGCTTTTGATGTCTCGATTTGAGTGCTGGGAATGAAATATTAAAATTAGCATTGGGAAATGGTCAAAGTCTAAAAGAATTACAACAGCCTGTATCTGATTAAAATACAAGCTCACTCACAGAACAACGAACATTACTCATTGAACCAGAATTGTAAATGATAATTAAACGAAAAGGAAAACTAATGGGAATTTAAAAAAATCTGTTGATGTTTCATTCCACTAAAAGCTGTTACAAACATCAAAAGAAGGCAACAGATCTTATATCCCGCAAAATCTGATCCCAGAAAACGTTACTCTCACCTGGCCAACATTCGCATTCCGAGTTTTCAAATCAGAACAACGCTTTGATATTGTTCCGGCGAGCGGCGGAACGGAGGGCGATATTGAATTCGAATTTATCATTCAAAATGGATTTTCGAGGGTTGGCAGATAGCGTCGCCCCGACTCTATCTCTGCGGAAGGCCGTGGGTGGTTGGGGCGCCCATATTTCAAGTAGGCGCCGATAGAATCTGACTGAAATGAATGGTATTGACGACCGACTAAAATTCTTTAAGGTTCCCATTCATCCCATCGGCGGCAAAGTCGGAAACTCACACTTTCACTTTAATATGAAATAGGTGAATATTTGGAGGGTAGATTACATATGTTTAGGCTTACAAGGAGGTCTACTACAGTACCTTGGGGAACTCCCATGGAGCATTGGAATTGTTTATGTACGAAAGAAGTTTTAAACCCTTTCCTTTCTCTGACCGAAATGCAGCCGACTTTGAGTTATCAGATGTCATTTTCCGCTTACAAAGGTGGTGCACAATTTCTTAAGTCCTGAGCTCGCATTCTCATAATTCAACGTCCGTCTAGTTTCACAAATAAGCCCCAGAGGCGTGATGCTTAAAAGGCATATTAATTAGTTTAGTCTCCGAGCAGCTAAACCAACTATTTTAACGTAGTTTGTTAATTGCGTTGCACCTCGCTTCTAAGGATGATAAATTTTAAATCAGGCCATAGCAGTTGTACCCGTAGTCCCTTAATTGAGACGAATAAGTTTCTGTTTCGAGAAACAATGAGGGGGTATAAGATTTTAGTTCATACACCGACTCCTCTATATCGGATCTCTATATAGTCCGTAAATCTTTCCCAACCATCGTACGGCAATCGGTCAATTTCTTTTGACTTCGGCAGGGGCTACGCAAGGCATATAAATGCCCAAGATAATCGACTCCCGACTCCCCTGAATGAAAAACCCATACATCATTCCTGCCCTTTGCCCTTCGGAGTCCGTGGCAACCTTTGCCTCGATCAATGCTCAAATGGTCCCAACGCATTAGTCTCCTTCGAAACAAAAAATAAATTGTGTAGATTATTTGCCGAGAGAATTTATCGGGCTCCTTTGTGGAAACGTTATTCGGGTTTTTTCGGGGGGGTTAATTGCTAATTCCAACATCGCATGTCGGTGATGTTACCACTTTCAACGGCATGCCATTTGGTTATTGTTAATCTAAATCGAGTACGGAATGAGTCCACTTAAGGGATGAGGATTGGTAAGTAGGTTGGTGACTGCCAAAACGCGTATTTGAGATTAAGTGAAGAACCTTTGGTCTTTTCCTTTCTCTGCTACTTCCTCCCATCTTTCTCTCTCTGTTTTCTCTTTCTCCTTCCACCTGTTCACAAAAATAAGAGGACATATTGAATATCTCAACTTTGGAAAGACAGTAAACGTATATTTTCAATATCTCAAACTCAATATTTAGAATACACATTCATTCGTTCCCACTAAAGAGCAAACGGTATTTCACAGACTATCGTTTCAGTGTTAAGTACCAAAACGCTTCATCAGTTTCCCTGTCGCCCATTCGAGGTGATTTTTCATCTAGCTTGATTTATACACAGGCCATTTAATAGCATTATCGGGAAAGCGGAAACTTTTTCTGAACGACTTGAGTCGCATAATAACCTACGTCGATGACTTCCAGCCCCCAGGAACTTCAGAGTGGCGCAAATGCGATCCCCAAAGCCAAATGGACCGCGAAAAAACATTGGGTGGATCGATGAAGCGCCCTTGTACCGTTAATGAGAAAAGTTGGGTGTATAGAGTTAGTTATAGATATATGGGAAGATAAAATATGATTTAAATTCAGCTGTATCGAAACGATGCCTTCTGGAAACGTCAATATGTATTGACGTTTCATTCTCAACTTCTATATCGCGGATATTAAAAAGAAATAATGGCAAAAGTCAGAATTGTATGTTATTATCGTATTCAACAACTAGGTAGAACGCGTCCATATGTTCTAAATTCCAGTAACGAATAAAACGCAATCCAATTGCCGGTTGTACCTACTGCTGTGACGTCACGTTGTAACAGTGAGGCATTGTTCCGTTGTTGTACGTTGTCGGTGGTGTGATTTTAATACAACACAATATCACAAGGGATACGCTAACCCATCGATTTGCTTAATGCTACCATTTGTTTGCGGTCGCTTTTTTCCTTAAACGTATTACACTGTCGATCATCAAAATTGGTTTTCTGTAAAACCCTGTTTACGGTATTAAAGCGTGCATTATTTATAGACTTTTCGCTGTATTCTGACGCAGCGAAAGCCTTGAGAACCGCAACACCCGTCATAGGAAACTCAATTCTTGTGTGAAACTGTATGGGGGACCATGTGACAGGAAAATTTGTAAAGTTAGTAGAAAATTCTTCAAAAACATTTCTTATAAATAAATAGTTGTGTTAAAATTAGTTTTTTTAACTGCACTTTAATCGACCTACATTGTCCGAAGTTATAATGGAAAATAATTTAGTGACGAGGTCACACTAGCTTGTCCAGCGGCGGGGTATGAATATTACTAAAAAAAGGTTAAAAAATTATTTTTCCTCACTGAATTTGTTTCTGAAGGTCAAAGGTAGCATCCGTGTAAATATGACCCCCATGGAAGTCGAACAACATATCGTCTTCTCTGTTTCAAAACTTTATTTTTCCCAAAGATTGGATTTACTGCAGGGAAATAAATTTCCAGCTTTTAATATCCATGTAGCGTCAAAAATTCACCTCTCGCCATTTGTTTTACGTTGGAGTGTAGGATTGGAGTTGAGAGAGTGAGACTGGAGAACGCAGTGAAGCAAAGATGAGAGATTCTAAAAATATGGCTGTAATTTGGACCGATCTAGCTAGCAATTTGTTCTGCGAGGGAAACTAATTAAATCAATTAGACCGTTATTGATGACAACAGATTGCTGTGCTCCGAGAAAAAAGGGATAACATTTGTAATTCTGGTTATCACCCCGTTTTGTCGAACGCTTTCTGTTTTAAATCGTGATGTTTTCGATAAAACTAAGAATAATGTAGATGACAGCGCACAACCCTTATGCAATTAATAATTAAAAAAAAATTGAAATCAATTATTTTACACAGAAAACGTATCCGGACACATTTATATTCTAAAAAAATATATTTTAGGGGACAAACGGAAGCCTAAAAATCAATATTATTCTTCCTGTAAGCATAATCCGGGACCCTTCAATTAATTTAAAATTATTTAACAGGGGCGGGTAATTACGGCAAACCTTCGACTCTTAAGGCATTTTGAAATGGAGATAACTTTGAAGGAACCTCCAGTCTCTTTAGACTTTATACGCTTTGATGTGACTGGAGAGAATTTTGCTTTCGATGAATTTTCTCGAGATGGTAAATAGATTTGAAGATCCAAGGGGCCCTTTGTCCCGAAGTTAAACGCTGATATAATAAAAATAAACATCTGCTGTAATTGCTTTCATCATCGTTATTCAAAGAAATATCTTGTATTTTTGTTGTTTAAAGTCACTCTTGGCAAGGACCCAATTTTTTTTAGAAAAAAGTTGAATTTGTTTCAATTAGTTTATAATAAAATAAAAATACATGAGCTAAAACTAGAATATGTTTTTTAACATGATTTTTTTTGTTTGCTCTGATTCATTTCGAACAAAACATTTTCTATTTACTGACATAGAAATTATTGGATTAAATATAGCTTTTAAATGATGAGCTATCTATTATTTGATGAGCCGAGCAAAAAAGAACAATTAACATTAATAATCTCATTTATATGCCTAATTATTGGAACGTGATACCATATTTAATCCAGTGCAGAACAGGATGTGAATGATTGACGCTATGTTCTGTTTTTCTAAGAATTAAGAACTGAGATTTTTAAAATTCACATGGGAGAAATATACACGTCAAAATTCCCGTCATTATTCTGACTGTTCGAAAGCCACATCCTAAATTTCCCGACACTTGGAATGTCTCAGAAGCACCACCATTCTTTCTGTTTACGTTGGATTGACGTGTGTATTCTACTCGAGTAAATGGAGAATTCACAACAAAGCCAATAATCAATTGCATTATTAAAACGGGACTTCTACACGAAGGTTCTGCGACCATCCATCATCCCGAGGACAATGACCACTTTTGAATATGATTAATGTTGAGGGGGTCGATGTTGTCGAGTAGGGTTTGTAATTTTTTTTACGTCAATGTTTACTTGAGAGGAGGGCGGAAAACGTGAAAATAAAACCATAGGGCGTTTATGAAATCTGACATGAATTCGAAAGGTTGGTGAAAAAATAAATAAAAGCTAAATCTAGTTGGTTTGTTTTTAGAAACGTTTCAGAACTATCACGAACAGTTGTGGGAAAGACCTGTCGATAAAATTTTCGATTCGAAAGGTTAGAGAAAAAATTCACTAACTTGATTCTAGTTGGTGATTAAAAGCGTTTCGGAACTACCACGACAAAGCGTGGGAAAGACCTATCGGTATATAAAGACGAGAATCTAACCCTAACCCATCGATTTGTTCCTAATCTGTTTTAATTCTAGCAGTATTTTATCGGTCTCCGCAAAATCCACACGGCTTTGCTCGGGTCTGTGTAATTACCAACAGAAATTGCATTTTCGTGGTCGATAATGTCTTGAATAAGGTTTAGTATGTGCTTTACAGTATTGATCAGTAAATACGTGGATGAAATAAGGTCGAGGCAATTTTCCAACGGTTCTATAATCACAGCTTGCTTTCCTTACAGGCTTTTTCGTGTAAGATATATATGTTACAGTTACCTTGTTATTTTGCATCTTTCTATACTGTATTCAGTCTAAATAATTTATTCAATGTATCCAAAATTTAAAAAAATACGCTTCCAACAGGTAACGCCCTATAACAGGACATGTTAAGCCTGTTATAGAAATGTAACAAAAAAAAAAAAAGAATGAAATATAAAAGAGAGAAAGAAGAAATATATACAAACTTACAAATAACACAAATGTGAAGAATAAAACAAAAAGTTGACAAAAAATATGAAACATACATTGCTTCTAGCTGAGAGCCGTGGTGTTTTGAATGTTAAATTTCAGTCGTTTGCTAGACGTTGTTCATAGCGGCCGGTGAATACTTAAAATAAAGCGGTATATTTACAATTTCTTTACTTTATCCCCTCGTAGAGCGCTACAAAGTACATTTAGTATGAAGGGGATGTAAGAGAAAAATATAAGAGAATATAAGACATATTTCATTAGATAATTTCCCTGACATCCCCGCGAAAGCGTTAAGATATCCAGGTAACGCCAACGCTAGGAAACTCTTTCTCTTCTCCGATTTATGAGCCTTGTCACTTTAAAAGGCCTTTATGGAAAGCTATTTACAAAAAAAAACGCTGCTCGAATTTCGCGAAACCGCCCATCTGCGACAGAAAGCGTAGGGCCATTAGGGGGGAGGTCTGAATGAACTTTAACCTAAATAATGGGGTGTCTTCAGATAAACCAATACGCCCCCGGGTAAAAAAGCGGAGGAGGGGGAGTGTGTCGTGAAAAAAAAATGGCGAAAATCTATTTTCTTCGACTTTTTTCGTGGATTCCTCTCTGCAGCGCCATTTTTGTACATCCGGGAAACAAAAGACGGTGTGTGGAGTCATGGATAGCGTGATTCTATTCTTGAAAAATGCCCCTATATCGTGAAATCTAGAATTGGTCCAACTAATAAGTTTCATAATAAACATGTAAAAATATACATCAAAAATGTAATTATTTCTTTATCTGAATTTTAATTATTTTGCTGAAAAATAATTTGTAAATTTCGTTTAAGTAATGCGAGATTATTTACAAAGCGATCTTTAAATATCCTATTACGTTTTCTGTGTTTACCGTTTTTTTTCCTTTAAATTACAAACGAAGTTGATGAGAAACGAGATTTTTTTACAGTCAACTAATTAAAAGTGATATCGTGTATTTCATGTTTAAAGAATTTTCTTTTTATTCTCTAAAGATCATTTAAGATATTTTAAGCCCCTTTTATATAAAAAATGTTGAATTTTAGTAATTCGAGATTCGTTCGAGCATATTAAACATTTTTTACCACTGTTTCCAACATGAATCAAACATGTATTAGTTAAGTCGCTTATGAAAAATGAACTGAGCATGTAAATAGCGATTTTCTGTTGCAGCAAGACTGTCCCAATGGCCGATTGACACCCGCCAAATTCGTAGACATGTACAAGATGTTCTTCCCATCAGGTAACGCAGAGGAATTCTGCGATCACGTTTTCAGAACCTTCGACATGGACAAAAACGGGTATATCGACTTCAAGGTAAGAAACGAACTTAACATTTTCGATTTAGCAATTGCTTTAATTCCTTCAAAATCATGGCAAACTATTAAACACCGTATATTTCACATCCATCATCGGTTTTATTAAGTGGAGAGACTGCAATAGACCTTTGGGGCTTAACAAGCAATCTGTTCGGCGTAATAAAGTCTTCGCCACGCCACCAAAGTTACTTCCGATATCCCAATAAGTTCGGGGAAGACATCCTGCGGGAAATCCCGCAGTTCCGCACTCCGTCGATCAATTTGTTCGAGGCGTACTTGATTATGTTCCTATTAACTGTGCTAATACTCCCGAGGCACAATCCGGAAATTGTTTTAGAAACCCCCTTTCTTTTTTGTTGCCAGGCCGATTTTTCATTTAATGAACAAGAACAGAGAAAGATATTCATTCGCGAGAATCAATGCAAAACCACCAGATTTTGTTGTTGTGGTGTTCATTGTAGAATTTCATTAATGTGCTATAAAATGCAGCAATCAAAAATCGTTTCATCTCTCGATCGGCGCAGTTTGCAGCGACAGCGACAATATGTTTTTTATGTGTTTCCCAGTGGCCAGTAAATTACAAAGAGACGTTAAACTTGTCAAAGTTGGGTGTTTTAACATGTCACTAACCAATTTGTGCAATGTACGCGACATGACATTGATATTGTGTTACCAAACAACTTTCGTGCTTTGCAATTTAAATTAAATATTTCCCATTTTAAAACAATGTCTGGCTCATTGCACTTCTCAAAGCAAAGGACGTAATTTCGGTGAAAGCATTCACTTTTTAGCTACATAGAATCTTTGGTTCTTAAAAACGTATTGTCTTAAAGTAAGGACTTGCTTCTTTTCGGCATATTTTAACTCTGCTACATAATACAGCAATCCCCTAAAAAATCCAAACATCGTTAATGGGAACTATGCTAATTTTTATTTGCTGAATGAAAAGAATTCATTGTGCGTCCACAGGCTACTAAAGTGAAGATCTTTCGTTCGTTCCATTCGAAACGCGGACTAAAAAGTTCTATTGAAAAAATTCCTAATAGTACAGTCATTGAAGCTTTTCATCTCCGAATTCTTTGAAACTGAACCGACCGACTTGAAATTTGGCAGATGGATTTGGATTGGTTAGAGAAAAGGTCAATGAACATTAGTGACATAGGGGCGATTGACGCTTCCACCCTGTTGGACACCCTCCTCCATACTATAGCTTCAAAATTAACCGAGTTATTGTAAAAAAATTTTTTCGGAGCAAAATAGGCTTTCTTAATTTTGGAGCAAAATGTTAGAATTCAAGTACGCGTCAGCGTGTATAAAAGTTGATACAGGTAGATGTCTGTGTACATCACACATATATATGTACATACATACACACACATTCCATCTGATTGGGGATGGGTTAAAATTCAAAATTATTTACACCCTATAAAAACTTTGGACTCATCTGCACCACAAGAACTACTGAAAATGATCTTTTGCAACTGCAAAAAAGGGTGTGACTTGTGGTTGCCGAAGAGTTGGTTTGTTCTGCAGTTCAACTTGTGGAACATGCTGTGGAGATAACTGCCAGATTTGTCCACCAATTGAAGAAGAAGAAAAGCTTTTAGACAGTAATTCTAATGATTGTAAACTTTAGTGAATTATTATATTATTGAAACATTTTTATATTTAAATTGAAATATTATACAAATAAAATAAGTAAAAAAAATTAGTGTGATTATTTATATGCAGCTTAGCACTTTTTTTATGATTGATTATATTTAAAAATCGATTATAATATAAATATTCAATTTTTTATGATCGATTATATTTAAAAATCGATTATAATAAAAATATTTTACATTAATATTGGTAAAAGAGTAGTTTATACCCTAGTTGAAAATGGCAAAAGTAAAATATTCTTTCATAAACAATATAAGGGAATTTTTATTTTAAATTATTGCACAATTATGGCATTCCAAGATTTAAAACGTAATTTTTTATCATTTTTTTTAGCACAGGGGTGATTTATAAGGGTTGAAAAGTGTTATGAGATACAAAATCTTTCATAAGCAATGAGGGAATTTTTATTTTAAATAATTGCACCGTTAAAGCATTCCAAGCTTTTAAAAAGTAATTTTATATCATTTTTGTCAATACAGGGGTGGTTTTTAGGGGTTGAAAGGGAAAAATTCTTTTATTAGCTATAAGGTAACTATTATTTTAAATAATTGCACGATTTAATCATTCCAAATCTTTAAAAAGTAATTTTTTATCGTTATTTTTTGCATAGGGTTAGTTTTTAAGGGTTAAATAAAGGTTCGAAAAGATCAAATATATCATAGAACATGAAACATTATTTAATCTTTGTGCTTGAACAAGATTTTTATCAATAAAATGCTTAAAACTAAATTATTTCAATTTTTTCCACTTAGGGGCAGTTTTTACCCCTAAAAAAACAAAAAGCGCCAATCGGACTTATGTCATTTTTGAACTTGAGCCTAAGATGAGCCTTATTCTAAATTTTCATGCAAATCCATGCAGTTTCAGAGAATTCGGAGGTTACAGCTGATTTTCAGCTTCAATGACTGTACTATAAAAAATTTTTCGTTTGAACCGTTGAGTATTTACATCAATAAAAGTAAATATGTCGCTCGTCCTACCCCGCGTAACTTGCTTTGCCATAAAGAGGGTCTTAACAAAGGTGAGGTTTAGAGGGCCCTTGAGCTTAGCTCCAAAGAAGCCGCATGTTCGACCTACAAAAACGCAGGGTGGGTTTTACTCTGGTTTACGTTTGTTAAGTTTAAAAAACTACACTGTGCCGTATCTACCAACTGAAATATTACTGTTAAATGCACAATTGTTTGGAAGGTGTGCAAACGCGATTTTAATTTCCGTAAAAATTATACTTAAACCTACTGGTCTGTGAAATAAAAATGACGAACAAGGACATTCATTTGTACTAATTCAAATAAGATTAGAAATGTTTGTTTTCTTAAAAAACTAGGAAACAGCATCTGCGGATCCCGCACTGGAATACCGTAAAAGTATGTCACTGTGCCGTCCAATAATGTGCGGTCGGGGTATTCCGAGTGCGCCATCCTAATCGCTTGTCGCTCTGGTAGCCCCAAGGCAAGGCGTCCTCTCCTAAATTATTAAGCGCCCGTTTGCGTTGCAGGAGTTCCTCTTGGCGATCGATGTGACGTCGAGCGGCACTCCCGAGGAGAAGCTCAAGTGGGCCTTCCGCATGTACGACGTCGACGGCAACGGTGTCATAGACATTCAGGAGATGACGAAGATCGTACAGGTAAGCTACAACACCCTACATAAATAGGTCTGCAGTATCCTGAGCTGTCATTTACGCATGTGCAGACGATTTAGAACCACATACATATTATAATAATATTTGTTTTTTACTCTACTGTGAAGGAATTAAACTAATTCAAAGAAATGTATTGTATTTAGATCCAGTCCAGTGTCTGTCCGTATATCTTAGCTAGTGCGAGCGTCGGAAAACGTTCGGGGAAAATTGAAATATACGGTTCCAAACGTAGTGGGAAAATTATTTGTCCCGGGGCATATGACACTTTGAATACCAAGGAAATGAATCTAAAATATAACGCGTAACATCGAAATTGTATTTCCATTCGCCTGAGAATAGAAAGAAAATCCGCAGGCGATAAATAACACTTTCTGTAGGATTTTAGGAATATAACGTGAATGATCTCCATTCAACATTTGTAGTACTGGTATCGAAAGCAGATATTTTCAACGTAGTTCTGTATTATCCTGTTCTAAGAAAGTGTTCATATTTTGAGAGTTTTGGTATAATTTAATGTAAATAACACTCCTGCATTTGAGACAAATGTGTAAGTGGATTGAAAAGTTAGTTGGGGAATGGCTTACCCGGTGCTAGCGAGGTTGTAGTTCCATATTACAAGACCAGGGGCGCAGTTACTTGGTAATTGCTTTTACGTGCCCCTTAAACTTTTTAATGTTATCCATATTTCTTCCTTAACGAGACAAATTAGTGTCTGGATCAAGTAACGAAGACGAACGTTAACTTTGCATAATGCCGACACGTTATGTTTTGTAATCGTTTTATTGGTCGTTAGTTATTGCTCTTATTGCTTTATTAGATTGTATTTTAATGAGATAGCTTCGAGGTAAAAAATTCGAAATACTTAAAAACTCCTTAAAATTGTTCAAAAAAAAATCCCCAATTACAAATATGTACATAGAAAGTACAGATAATTACCTACAAAATGAAAAAAAAATCGCCTTAATACGATGAAAATTGACGGAGCTATGCGCATTACAAAAATGGCGAAATTTCGGTGTAAAATTTGTGTGCAATAATTTTGTTGTCAAGTGTACTTGTACAAAATATTTCGAAAAACATACTCCAGAAGTACGAAAGGGTTTAAAATACTTACATCGAAAATTTCGGACCTCAAAAACCACAAAATACTTGAAATTCCCTAAAAACTTAAGTATTTAGAGGTTTTGGCAATATTTCAAGGTATTATCCGTACTTTTCTCCTTTCGTTGTCTTTGGAACTGTTAGTAAAGATCTACCGAATAAATGACTTCCAAAACGAATTTCAGTAACATTCGGTAATCAAAAAAATAAATATCCTACGATATTTGTTGACATAGAATTTCAAGAAGACCCCTGCATCACTTTTTTGGAATTAACCGCATTCGACACCCGAGGTAGAAAGACATTGGCAGCTTACAGCGCATACTGTGTGCAGATACGAAGGCCTGTTTCTTCGGGTCTTTTCTTGCACTTCTGTCTCGACAAGTATTGTACGGACTGCATTTTATTATCACACAGCACTTTTCATAGAGTCTCATTTATAGAACGACTTTGTACCAAGAGAAAACCTTACTGGGTACCCTGCGCCTGCTATTGACACGAGTTCCTGTATCGTATGTTCTGTATCGTATATTAATTCTTGTTCCGCAGGCCATCTACGACATGTTGGGCGCCTGCTCGTCCAACCGGCCAGCCGACTCGGCCGAGGAGCGGGCCAAGAACATCTTCGCCAAGATGGACGAGAACAACGACGGCCAGCTCACCCAGGAGGAGTTCCTCAAGGGCTGCCTGCAGGACGAGGAGCTGTCGAAGATGCTCGCGCCCTAATCCGCGTAAGCGCCGGCAAAACCCACCCAGACGGGGTTCGCACTTTCAGAGACTTATTTTGGACGCGACATGCGGTACATCAGCCCACCCACAGTACCCACCACGCACATCCGGTTTTGTAGTCGAGGAACCGAACAAAAGAACATCGACGGGATAGGTCTTAGCGGTTAACTTTCGTTGCTGCGTTTCGTTCTGTCTCTCTCTCTCTTTCAGCTTTTCACCGCGCGTCTCAGCTTTCGGGTGTACTTTTCATACGGATTCAAGGGAGGCTTGCCCACCACCCCCCTCACCAGTTTTCTCTTAACGTCTCGCGCGGAGTAAACACCACTAAATATTAAATAAGTACCTTAAATCAAGAAACAAACAATAAAATGATGAATCATAAAAAAGTAAATGTGATAAACACGTCATTAAAATGTTGTAGCGGTAAAAGAAGAACACAGTCCTAGCATAGAGTCCAATACTGCACAAAATAATTTAAGATAGATAAGAGTACAGGTTTTATATATATTTTGTGATAGATGATCGTTTCGCGTTGCAAAAGGCACAATTATATTTTTATTATTAAGTTTCTAAACGCTGATCTCCTAGAAAGTAACAATTTTCGTTTTAACGCATACTTATAACATCCACTGTTGTATTTTACCGTACGGTTACTTGTGTACATGTACTTGTTCGCCATATTAATCCTAGCAACTTAAAACACTAACACGTTAACACAACCCCGCACAATGCGCGCTACAAAATAGTCGTACGCCGCATCTTCTTCCACATAATCTTTGAATTTCGGACTAGATTTTACATCCACACTAATTTTGTCGTCTAAATGGCTATATTGATGTATACGTGACTGAATGAACTCACTAAACCATGTTTCTGTGGATGTGCATCATTTAAATATAAATAAAACTCATATTTGCCGGCGACAACGCGTTTCCTACAAGAAGGTTCTGCCAAGAACGAACGGACCACTTGAAATTTCGGACCCAAAAAAATAATACAATTGTTCCTATGGCCTATCGTCCTTTGTTACAAGGCATCAAAGAATTTTCGAAAACGTCGTTTTGGCAGCCTTCTCGTTGAGGCGTGGGGTCGCTGTGCCGTAAAAACCTCCTTAAACAATCAAATCTAAATAAGAGACCAAAAGCTAAACACGGAAAAGTCAATTAACGCAATACTGAGTGTGATCCCTTCTGATATCTCATAGCCTTAGGAGAAGCGCGTCTAGTACACCCCTTAATCCGTTGCAAGACTATACGCTGGCGGGGAAGTTGCATTTAATTGGAGCCGTCATACCTCGGCGCCGACTTTAAGCGGTATCCATATACGTGGGCTCCGGCTATAAGCATTTCGGGAAAAAAACTAGCTTAACTCTCTTGCTCATACCTGAAGCATTTCTAGATATACAAAGTAAGTTATAGAGGAGTAAACTTAGGGCTTGGTAGACGACCACGTCGTCGGGGTGCGACAAACTAGGTGTTGTTAAAAATATTTGGATGTACTCTACATTTTAAGCATATCATATACATGTAACCTGTCCCTTTAGGTCACCTTGCCGAATTCTAGCGTCTGACAATTCTTCGAAGTTCGCCCGCCCTCGATCAATGTCCCTCGACATTTTTGGCACATATCGGATGAGGGCTTTGGCACTGTTCGGGGTTCCTGGGTCTTTCAAATCTTCGGTTGGGCCGTGCTTGGAAGCCTTGAACGTCGGTTTCGCGAGTTTTCTTCCAATATTTTATATTACAGTACTTATTGAAAAAGCTGCCTAAATTTGACAACCTTTGTTCCAAAACTTAAATAATTTGGAGCTTGGGAAGGGAACAGTCTATTGATACTATTTTAGAGGTCTTCGGCAAAAATGAAGTATTACCAGAAATTGGTAAACATTTATTTACTGCGAAAAGTGTATACTTCGCAATACGGGTCAATTTATAAATTGACCTCGAAGCTCAAAGCTGTATGGAAATACAAGTAATAGGATATCGATGTTCCAGTATCACTTACAATGTTTATATTAAGCGTTTAAGCATGTTTGACATTGTAGTTCAAGTTCAGAGCAAGGAATAACGCTGGCAGTATCAACAACACGTCACTCTGGTGTTAGGTAATAAACAAGACACGATAACTAACAATAATTTTATAACCAACTGACAACTGATGACAATTTAACACCTCAACTGCTGCCGAACGACAATTCGCGAAGAGAACGCAATTCGGGAAACGGTAAAAACAACAGAAAATTATTGACATTGTTGCCAGACCTCTAGTTCAAGCCCAAGGATCTGACAACATTGTCATTCATTTTCTCTTATGAGTTCACAATTAAAAACATATTCTTGCATAAAGTAAAGTGACGTTTGGAAAAGTACATGGTTAAATTTTGATCTTGAACTTCGTAAAGTCGCATATAAATTGTTTTTTTCTTGCAATGTTGCATAGAACTTTATTTATTTTGGTCTTTATTGGAAGTATTAGACGTACAACCCTTATACTGATGACGTTGCGTATACAAATAAATGGCGATGTAAAATCAAGGTCAGACTGCATCAAACGAGATCACCCACGTTTTAAAAAGAGTATTGCAATGCTATTAATTCCTCCTTCATGGCGTGGCATTAACTAACCGATGTAGTTGATATGTCGTCGCCGGGAAGAGGAATAGCGGACCCAAACACCACCGACGCTATCTCATCTTCGAATTTCTTCGCTACAATTGCCTTTCCAAGCGGAAATCGATACCAGAAGCAAGTGCAGGCGTTACAGAAAACTGTTTACATGCAAATGCGATCGCGTTCTACACGTAAACCGCCGTAGTGAATCGATGTTCACGGCTTCCACGCAGGAACACCCTCTCGTACTCTATACACACCATTCCCAGTATTCTTTTGGACCCCACTGTAACGCGCCGTCCGGTGGTCCTGTGCCGCGAGCCGTCTTGACGGGATTTTTCGCGTTTCCCTTTTGCGTCCCCCTTCGCCGGGACGGGAAAAGCGTCGTTTGTGTTTTTCGACGGGCGCGCCGGCCACATCAGGATGGCGGGTAAGTCAACCGGAATGTCTGTTGGTTTTTGCGGCCGGAGAAAACAAAGGGCAGAGGTCAGCCGTGGGCTTTTACGAGGGGCCGTTCTGATTGATGTCGCGCCAGTAAAAACTGCCTGCGGAACATCTGCCAAGAAGTGTACGTCTCGCTCGTTATTGGCTTCCGCGGAAGGTCGATGGTTTTTCGACCAACGGGGGCTCGATTTTGAAAGACACTTGAAATTACGTTATTTTTTCTTTCAAGGGCAGGGATACGTATTTCCGACCACTTCTGATTACAGTTATGTGGCTAAGCAGCTCTCCTTGTTCTGGGGACATGGTAGTTGCCAATGTAACAACCTTTGAGTGTTCAGAAGTTGAGTATGGTTCCAAATTTGCAACCACTTTCAAGTAATTTTTATAGTTTTCTAACGTTATGCAGATCTTTAAAGTCTTGGAACTCATAAGTAACGTCAATAATTATCAACGATGTTAGCGCTACTTATAGAACTACAACTACAAAGTACATTTCCACACTGGAACGTGGTCTTACGGAATCGTCGTCAGAACGTAAAAATTATTTTAGTTATTGGTCTATAACGATCTACGTCCCAACAACTGATCTTATAGTTTTTGGTAGAAGCTACTGCTGGTAGAGTCATTAAAAAATTTGACATATCAAGATCGGTAATCACAGTTACTGATTACTGTAGTCCTTATACAAAAAACACGTTCGTTTTCCGCAATTCGCAAGAACTTGTAATCAGAAAAAAATATCGGCACGTTTCATGTTGGTTATTTTTAACACAGCAAGTCCAAAACACGACATATCGCATGCGGGACCATTCCTAATGGACTTACCGTTTCGTTCTACTAGAAATAACATTTAAACAACACTTTTATAACCCCCTTATATAACCGCTAATCGCAAATGTCGCGGCTGACCCAGAAACTTGTTCTCAATCCGGCCAAAAACCGACGGCGCAACCTGGCTAGTCAGCCTACTCCGTTTCTTTCGTACGTTTTTGACACTGAAGCGTCACATAAAGAGAAATTGGTAACAGAGATGTGATACATCGTTCACCTTTTATAGTGGGAGATGTTTGGATCGATTATGTCTATTCATATTTTTCTACTTGCACATATTGTATAATATATTATTATGCTACTTCTAGATGTTCGTTAAAAATAAGCATTTGGATTTTGTGACGGGCGCGGGACCGTCGCTTCGCCCTGTACACCAGGAGGAGTCCCGCGACCGGAAGTGTGAGGGACCATCCATGGTTCTTGCTAAGTGTTTTAGATCTTAGGTTCCTGCGATATTTGTACAAGTAGACGCTTGCGGCGAGTAACGTTACATTTATTAAATGCGTAAGCGTAAGCGGCCCGAGAATGGATCCCTGAGGCATGGCGTCGGTTATCTTTGAGACAAAAGATTGTCAAGTGATGTAATGGTACTTTGGCAAGCGTTTATTTTTTAGCGTGTAGTCTCGTCTATTATTTTGTACTCAGTTAAGTTTTTGTATATTTTTATATTTAGTGGTAATCTATGAGAACTGTCCGAAGACCTTGGATGGTTCGCCTCGCGATGGTGTAGTAATATTGAGGCCAGAGGCATTTTCTTAGGAATAAATTATATAATTAACACATATTGATGGCAGATAATCTTTGGATTTTTATCACTTAATATTATGACAATTAAATGATATACATATTTGGACAAATTGGTGGTTTTTCTTGCGTGCGTGGCAGCAAGTGTGAATGGTTTTGAATTTCACGAAACATGTACACCAACAACAAAAACCCAATTCGTTTTTTGAATCATTTAAAAATATAATTTTCAGTATACGTAAGTCATTCCTGGGCGCACGTACGGCCTACTGAATAATAATATACCGCCCCCTCTCCCGCACAAGTCTCCGACTTGCGATGAAGGTGAGGGGTAGAGATATTATCATTATTATAATTATAAAGATCAAAACATTGTGTTGTCGTTGTTCCATTTAGACTCTTGTAAATGATAAGTTGAGATTGGTTGGTGTTGGAATATGGAAGAGTTGATATTTATTTTGAAGCAGTAGCCTTGAAATAGAAAAGAAAGCGATTACTTAAACCGTCGTTTGGCGTTTTTTTTTTGTTCTCAGGGAACGGAAGGAGCATTAGGGGGGTGAGAGAAGCTGAACGGAATTTAGCTTAGTCATGGGGAAGCAGAACAGCAAATTGAAGCCGGAGGTGCTGGAGGATCTCAAACAAAACACGGAATTCTCAGGTAAGAAAGTCGAAAGGATAATTGTACCGAGTTTGCACGGTTACTCTGTTGTAAATGAAAAACTTCAGTTTTAATACATAATTTTCTATAATTTGTTGAAACAAAAGAAAGGGAAGCGTTTCGGTAACCTTTTCTGTTTTCAAGTATTAGTTGGCAACTAATTTGTACACAATTGTTTCATTCGGAGCGTTCCTTCTACCGAAAATTACACGCACAGTCTCGGCTACACGCTCTCCGTACCTGTAATGAATTTTCACAACCTTCACTCGCTCATCCATCGTATAGCGCTCCATTTTGTCTAACTGCAACGTGTATACTACAACTATGACGCCGCGCAATGCTGCCAACTCTTCGGTATGAAAATTGAGCACAATTGGAATCCTGTGATACTTTTGGGACACCTTTTATTTGCCCAAATTACAATTACCGCCCCGTATTTTCTCTTTCACGTTTCCCTCGCGGGATATGCATTTATATTCGCTCCCGAGATTATACTAGAGGATTTTAATATGCCTTATCGGTGCAGTTCAGCCTAGCCCGCCTCGGTTTTTTCCTGCTCCTCGCGAACAATTTGAAATTCTAATTCCGTCAAGCAGATTAAACTGTTTTATATTTCCCTTTATACGTAAAAGTTTGTTGGGGAAGGCTTGCCTTTGAATTTTAATAAAGCCTGTCCTCGAGGGACAATAACGAAGCGCTCTAGATATTAATGTTGAGTTTACTGCCCGCTCAAACGGAAAATCATCTGAATTGGGATTGGAAGAATATGTTTACACTGTATTAATTTCAATATTTTGGTTGTATAAAAAGATCTCTTGACTCGTGTCTAACACGGCTAACTATTTTTATTGTACAAATATGAAGGACGTAAGGTTAAAAGCGAAATAAATAAATTTTCTCTGTTCTTCAGAAGGTACGATGTTTTCACGTGAAACTGTTTTATATTTAATATCAAAGCGTTCTCGTTTTGCTGTCACTCAAGAATTTTTTTGTAAAAAATCAAAGGCACCTGTTTACTTTTACTCACAAAAGGGAATATTACAATCAAACTGAATTAAAATCGCAATTGTGAGCAACAAAAACGCTACAACTGAATGCGAAAGGGAATACTTACTTTTGGTTGTAGGTTACCGTTTTGGTTTTCAGAAACGAAGCTCTTTGCGAACGTCAGATAGTAAAAAAATATATTTCTTGCCCCATAATTGCAGTTTCAGAACTAGAAGGGATTACTTTGCCCCACATTTGGAACAAAAAAAAAATAAAACTTGTCCTATTGAAATAAATGAATAAAAAAAAAGTAATAATAGTATTGAAGCAAATTTATTCAATTAATTTAATAAGCAGCAACTGTATGAAAAGTCTTTTTTATATTCTCTATTTATTTTTTTGTAGACGCCGAGATCCAGGAGTGGTACAAAGGATTCCTCAAGGACTGCCCCAGCGGTCACCTGTCCGTAGACGAGTTCAAGAAGATCTACGGCAACTTCTTCCCGTACGGCGACGCGAGCAAGTTCGCCGAACACGTGTTCCGCACGTTCGACGCCAACGGCGACGGCACCATCGACTTCCGGGAGTTCCTGTGCGCGCTCTCCGTCACCTCCAGGGGCAAGCTCGAGCAGAAGCTCAAGTGGGCGTTCTCAATGTACGACCTAGACGGGAACGGGTACATCTCCCGGCAGGAGATGCTCGAAATAGTCACGGTACGAGGTCACGCATCGATACGTGCGATTAGAAAGCTAGTGACGTTTCCTTTTTCCTTTCAGGCCATATACAAGATGGTGGGCTCCGTGATGAAGATGCCCGAAGACGAGAGCACGCCCGAGAAACGCACCGACAAGATCTTCCGGCAGATGGACCGCAACAAGGACGGCAAACTGAGCCTGGAGGAGTTCATCGAGGGCGCCAAGAGCGATCCCTCGATCGTGCGACTGCTGCAGTGCGATCCGCAGGCCCAGTAGTCCTCCCCCAACCCCACGAAAGACTCATATTCTCATCTTAAGTTGTGTACATCAACCACTCTTGTGTGATCGCGAGGTTAACTCGGCCAAATCCCGGTTTGAAACGGGGGATAGTAGGAGTTGATCAGAATACTCAACGGAGAAATGGAAGCAGGGCGGGAATTTTACCGTTTTTCGACCCGATCGTTAATGAGACCTCCGGTCGATCTTCGCTGGGGTGCAAGGTTAAGTAACGGATATACCTCAATTTTTTAAAGCGACACGCTACACTTAGAAATTTGATATATTTTTTTGAAAATAAAAGCAATACTCATGGGGCGTGAAGCATGCCGCGCGTTCGAGTCTATTGCGAAGGTTGGCGAGGTTCCATTAACGACCAAATTCCTTTTTCATAACAAATCATTCGTTAGTGAAGTCTATTATTTATGTATCAAAATGAAGTAAATATGGACTCAAGGTAAGTGAAGAATGTGAAAAAAATTGCAGATGCACCTCAAGTTTAATTCAGATGCGAAGGAATAATTGAGTTGGTGAATATATTGCGACATACATTCCCCCTTAGTGAAAATATTTCACAACTTGACATATTCACCGAGTTTTCATCGGAAAAACGGGAAATTCCCGACTGCCGTTCCACTTCGCCTACTACACTCTACTATACCTACCAATTTCCAAGATTTCCGCGCAAAGAACCAGCAAGAGACGAACAGTTTTCTGTTGTAGTTACAGCTAGTTCTCCAGACGCAGAACCCGGACAACATCACCTTGTTTTTGTCCCATAAACCGCGGATTGTTAAGCTCACCCTCGCATAGTTTTAGTAACAGTATATTTAATCTTAAAATTAATTTAGTGAAGATAACGATTAAGCAAGTTTTTAAGCAGAGCTCTTTTGGCGCGGCTGCTTCGAGTTGCTCGAACCCGCTGAGGTTTCCTCGACTGCGATCTTAGGTAGATCAGGTTTCGTGCGGGGAAAACGAGAGGGCGGCACTCCGTAGTTTGGGTCGGATATCGTGCGCTTGATATTGAGACTGCTCTTAGAATCTCGAATATATAATAACACAGTTGTTAGCTATGTATTTCATATGCTTAGCAATACGGAGACTGATACACTAACACATAGATTTATTATTCGTGTTGAATCTGTTAACGGTTGTTTGTCCAATTTTATTAGTAACAGTGAGCGCCGTTCGCTCGTTTTTCTCGCGAGAGATGCTTAGTTTTAGTGATTTTTAGTGGTCAGCGGGCAAGTTCCGACGGCAGTCCCGAAGCAGCCGGTCCCTACCTTTTCTGAACTTCGATGAACTATACCTACTATATATTATTGATAACTTAACTCAAGTAATCTTATTATTCAAATATATCAATTCAATGTTACTGTTTTCAAAGTTTTTATGTCAAAGAAGTTGAATGTAGATGGTCTATTTTATTGTAACGTTCCAATGTTATCTCAATGGTAAATGGTGCTTATCTGGGCTGCGGCTTGCGGACTTCAATCAGGGCCCTTTCGGGCCGTCGGCCCGTCCTCACCTGCCACGTTCTGAATCTCATTTCATCGATTATACGAGGGGCTTTCGAAATGTTCTCACAATAAACGTTCTGCATCTTTTAAAGGCTGTAAACAGTAAAAGACAATTTTTGATGTTATATTTTTTATCGGACAGTACCGTCAAGAAACGAATATACATAGTTGCTTTTAGTTTTAGAAGCAACGGGTAACCGGTTTGTTTTAAGAATATTTTAAGCCCCCTGTAATCACGTTCTGCACCTTCTTTCGACTTGAAAAAACAAATAGGATGTGTTCGAAAACTATTAAATACAGATAACAAAACTGCGAGGTCAGGCTGCACCGGAAAAGGAATCCTATAATATCGCCATTACAAACGAGGAATAAGAGGTAACAATTTTTTCGATTGCAGTGGATTCCTTGTCGGTTGGCGCAGTTGGCCTTGACTCGTGAAAATTGAAGTGCAAACGAGGCCTAACAAACGCGTAAACGCAATAGATCTAGTCGATTGTTTCCGACAATTAGTTTTGTACAGCAGGCCGTCCAGAAGGCCTTGCAAGCACACCGAACATGTCTTGATCTTCCTAATGTCTTGCGCGATTGTGGTTTTGATTATCAATGAATACTTGTCTACTACATGTAATATCAAAAATAAAATTGCTGATGCATTAATCAAATGTTAACCGTAGTTTAATTCACTCCTCCCCACTCGCGACAACATAATTGTTGGAACTGGAAGCTCTCTTTACCTTTAGGACTAAATTAAGAATTGATACGGTTAATTTATTAAAGAATCTCGGTAATTTACAAACAGTTTCTCCGGAAGTCGAAGAAAATCATCTTTCAATCCACACATCCTCCAGGACTGTCTCAGAACAGCAATCTGGAGAAACGACGATTGAACTGCTCCTTGGAATAATAATTGTAGAACGCCCCGCTGATTTCCGACTTGGTAACCAACTTCACGTCGTCTAAGTGCCTGTTGAAGGCCTCCACCTTGTACACGGGATTGCTGCGTGTCCTGCAAATCCTCTCGGCCCAGGTCTGAGCTGGAGGGATTCTTCTACGGATGCCTTTGCGTCGGCTGGCCAGAACTTCCATGATGTCATCATAGTAGTTCCGCCGGTACTCGGAGATGTATTTGTAAGGCAGGAATTTAGGCCTGAAAGAAATTATCGGAATCGGTTGATAGGACATGCGAATTATATTTTTAATCGAAAAAATTCCTATCCGCGAGTTTATTGTAAAATTGTCTAAAGGAACATAATACAAGACGTCTCTCATCTCGTGAGTCAAGTACTTTTATTAGTTAACTTTTCTATTTAAACAAATAAGTGAGGAAAACAGTTTTTTCACGAATGTATAAATCATTACCATGGAAAATACTTTACAGCACTATACTTTCTCTAAACTGACAGATAAATAGGTCTTTTTTAAATATGCAACAACTTATTTTTTATTGTTTTTGATAATTCTTCAAAATATGCCAATAATATTATTACTGGTATCCAGCCGTCTGCCAATATATTCATTATAATTATTGTTTATATCACAAGAGGCACAACGTTAA